CCCGTGGAGTTGAGCCCTTCTCGAGAAGCCGCCAATTCTGCCGCTACTCAAGAACTTCCCAACATTTCATGGAACCTGAAGGTTCATTACCATGTTCACAAGAGCCCTCCACTGGTCCCTATCCTGAGCAATATCAATCCAGTCCATACCACCCAATCCTATCCCTCTAAAATCCATTTTAATACTATCTACCCACTTATATCTTGGTCTTCCTAGTGCTCTTTCCTTCTGGCTTTATCACCAATATCCTACATGCATGCTTCTTCCCCCATTCGTACTACATGCCCTGCCCATCACATCCTCCTTGACTGGGTCATTTCTTTTATCCAAAGAATCCGTCCAAGTCCAAGGCCCTTTGTGACATTTCGTAACAAGCTTATTTTTAAGGTGATGAGTTGTTAACCCCATGCCTAATCCCCAAGTTTTAATACCACCCTTTGTAGGCTGTCCGCGACAGCTTATGCAAGATATTCGTAACTACACTTCATACCTTGAGGCTGTCTCCTCCACCCGCAACTCTTTGGTGCCCTTTCTCAACTTATCAACACATGTACTCGCACTATTCCTGAGAGATTGTGTAGAATATCTGGTGAGACTAGTACCTAGCTCCCAGGTAGATTGCTGTTTAATTTTGAAAGCCTTAGTATCATAAAGAAGCCTTTGACTTTTCCTGCTAAAGTGTGTCTCCTTTTCATTGTGCAAACAAAGAACGTCGTGAGAAACTCTGGGTGGTTATGCTGCATTATTTTCATGAGACTGATGATCACTCGTTTCAGAAAATTATGAATTAAACTTTCAGAGGAAACCAATCTCGTGCCTCCAAACTAGATTTCACACTCTGTTTGAAGTGATGCCTTTGACAAAGCGACCTAGAAACCCACAGCCTGCAATTTCATTGCACAGTGTGTCTCAGAAATACAGAGAGCCCAAGCAAAAGGCGCGGTCAGCGTCAGCAACCCGTGTTACAAAGCATGTAAAAGCTAGAAATGCTTTTATGTCCCTGAACTTTGCGACTAACGTTGTAGTAGCAGAACCGGAACTGGTAATACCGATATAATGTCAGTTCAGTCAGTTTATTGTCCTTAGAACCCCTCACCCTAATGTCATCTTCCCAACTCTTTCTCAGTCTTCAGACTCTACATTGCCGTAAAATTTCTTACTCCAAAATGTTGTATGTGTTTCTTTTCCCATTATCCACGCCTCATGTCTTTCGCTTATATAACGACGCTTTGCCAGCTACACTGATTATGAAAATACAGCGTGTGTTTGTGTATGTGAACTAGATGGCCAATCAGTGAGTGGGCGCCCACTCGAATCACCCCCATTAGAGGGGGAGTGTCCAATAGCAGTCAGACCCCACCTCTCGTCGAAGAGGAGGCCCCATTTCAAAACACGTAAAAGTCGGTACAAAAATATGGCTTATCAAGCCTACGTTTTAGCCCGGTGTCATCGGATTGTATTGTCACGAATTAGGGGTGAGATTATAGACTGGGCACTATGTGTATGTTGGATGTTAGATATATTGAGACTACTCAGAACTACAAGCAACTACAACCCCACCGCTAATCTCCAGTCTTTGTACGTAGTTCACTACAACACCCGATAGTGTCCTCAAGCCTATTACAGTCCCCACTAGCCGTTTCTTGGCAACGGATTTTAATACAGAACTATGACAATCTCACTGAATTACGTATTCCAAATATCACTGTACTACAGCACATATAAAATCTCTTCACAGCCTCCCGTACAGAACTGTCTGCCAACTATCAACTCCAGAACTCGACTGACCCTGCTTATAATATTTCGACACCAAGCGCATAGAAAATATATTTTTTTTGGTATAGCCCAACAATACCTCGACTGCTGCATACATAACCGTTTGTGCGGGAACCCGTTTACAGAGTAGTTGCTTAGCGATAGCTCGGGTATTATTAACGTGTTTACCAGCCGTTGTCCCACTGTTCACTTCGAGTCCCTGTCCGACACCGGTTCTGTACGCTTCAATATATTTCAGGATGCGTGTTCGTGCTTGAAGCATCTTTACACTCCGTCGTCAAATGTGGGAACCAGGGCCCCACTGTGCCGTGTCTGACAAGCAGCTCTTCACAGTTGACTTACTTAACTCGACTTTCCCATCACCGAGAAATCAATGGTAATTCAATTGATAGCAAGACTCGGAGTTCTGAGAACATTCGGCTGTTGCCTTCCAAATCGTATTATTACGCTAGAACACTCCGGCTTGAGGATTCCAAACCCGTGACCTTATACGTGATCACGTAAACATCCACTTCATACCAAATTTCACAAAGAAAACTGTTGGGAAAATGTGCCTATGAAGTATAAACTCACTTTGGGAAATAATTTATATGTACATTGTCCTCCAAACTACTTCCTCGAACACCCATGTCTGAATCACATTGGCATAAATCTACCGTGTTATGTTCCTTCGATTGTAGGAGGTTAAAATCTCGTGCAGCTACTGGTAGGTTGAAAGTTTCCTCTTGGGCCGCGCCATAGCTAAAGCGGTTAGTCGCTGGCTTCCCAATTCGGCGGCCCGGGTTCGATCCCGGCTCTGGTCAAGTGGGATTTATGGTGGACAAAGTGGCGCTGGGGCGGGTTTTCTCCGAATACTTCGGTTTCCCCTGCCAATCTTCATTCCACCAAATTCTCCATCATCATAATCACCCGGGGCAGGCTACAATAGGCCAATCAGTGGCCGCCGTACCGAGTGGACCCAGTTGGATTCCACCCCCCACTAAGCGAATTTAAAAAAGAAATCCTCTTGAACCAAAGCAGCTTTTACTGAATGTAATCTATGGAGATATTCAGAATTGAAATTGAACAATTTCTTAATGTTTCACATTATTGAATATCCTGATGTGTTGAATTCGTTAGTGTTAGCAGAAAGTAGTTCCGGAAGACGAAATTAAAAGACTGAGGATTACACCTCCCAGCTACTTCTGTGTTTTTGTATTTCTGTAATTGAGACACACAGCCCAGTTCTGTCACTCCAATTTAAAAGAATCCATTGGTTTCCTAACTTTATATACGAGGGATATCCAGAAAGTAAAAATACAAGTCCAGTAAAGATGCAAAGTTCTTTTTCTTTTTTAATGGCAGTGCTGCTGCGTGAGATAGGAAACGTATGACAGAGCTGAGTTCATTGGCCGCAGTCACGGCAACGGTGTGCTCGCAGTGTGTGTTTAAAATAGCCGCCAAATGTGAGGTTCGTGCAGTAATTCGATTTCTTCACGCGAAAGGAGAAACTGCTGCTGAAATTCATCGCCAACCTGTTTATGTTTACGGCGAAGGTGTTATGAACAGGCAAAACGTGGCAAAATGGTGTCGTGACTTTGAAGCGGGAAGAAGCGATGTTCATGATGAAATGAGGAGTGGAAGGTCATCCGTTGTCTCTGATGAAATCATCCAAAAAACTGATGAAAACACTCGTGCTGACAGACGTTTACCCATCGATGAACTTAGTCAGCATTGTCGAGAAGTGTCAGGAACTCTTCTCCATGTCTAAGATAGCAGGTGGGGATTTCTACGACACTGGAATAAAAGAACTGGCTCCCATGCTCACTAAAAGCATTGCGGTCCACGATGCCTGTGTTGAAAACGTGCTACAAGTGAGTCCCTATAAAAATGCTTTATAAATACGTATTTTATGGACTTTGTATCTTTACTTTCCAGCTATCTTTCGTAATAATATATCCTCAGTTTAGCGAAAGTTTCATCGACTGTTCACCTTCACTTTGTGTCTGTATAAAGAACAGCTGCAGGTTGTTTCATTTTTTAAATCAACATATTTTAGGTTCTTATCAAATAATTAGTAAAGTTAATAAACATGGCCGCGCCATAGCTTAAGCGGTTAGTCGCTGGCTTCCCACCGCGACGGTCCGGGTTCGATCCCGGGTCTGGTCAAGTGGGATTTGTGGTGGACAATGTGGCGCTGGTGCAGGTTTTCTCCGAGTACTTCGGTTTCCCCTGCCAATCTTCATTCCATCAGTTGCTCCACAATCACCCTCACCTATCATCTGGGGCTGGTACAATAGACCAGAAGTGGCCGCAGTACAAGAGACTTAGTCCCACCCCACTAGCAATAACAAAATTAATAAACACTTTAAAATGCACGAAATTAAACATCTCGTCTGATATCTTGCGAATTGTAATTTCACTTCATAAATTTCCCAGAACATCCCGGCCCCCTAAGCAACTAGTGGCACCCCAAACTTTGGAAATCATTTAGCTGAGCGGTGAGTGTGGACCTTGTGGAGACAAGAGGAAGAAGAAGAGTAACAAATCTGAGGGAGCATGGATAGGCAGAAAGTATTGATCTTGGGTTTCTAAGATTGTAACCTGATATTTCTGCTTTGCGTTGTATATCCTTCAAACTCAGATGGCAGAAATTAAACTTCGTCCATTCTGGAGGCATAAATCCTCGGTTTCACGTCCAGAATTATTTGGAAATTGAACCCCTTTGTGTACAATATTTAATATTCAATGGCGCGGCCCGGCTACATAATAATAATTTTCATTCAAACTTATTCTTTATGAACATGTTTCACACACAGCGTTTGTGGTGCCGGAGACATGTAACAGTCACATGCCACTGCAGCTGTGTATTACCAGTACAGCATACACTGACACTTTGCTCAGCTGATGGTGGATTATCCTAGGTAAGCTCCAAATACCAATAGCAAATATGGGATATGATGTTGTGTAGTATGTTGAAAGTCAACCGACGTTTCGAAGAAATATATCGCCTCCATCTTCAGGGTCGAGTAATTAATAGAGCAAGAAACCAGCATGAAAATAGATAGTAAGTCGCTTGACTTTCAACTGACCACACGGCATTAAATGCCAGAAGATGTAACTCTTCATAACCACCGCTGTGAAAGCCTCAAATATAGGAAACAACTACGTTGTCTCTTATTCAGGCATTTTAAACTTATTCCTAATGTTGGCCGAACTGTTAATTAAGTTACTTTCTTTTGCAGCTGACACGTTATGGGAGCAGTTCTTTGATAGGCTGCAATATATGAGCCTGTTCGATGTTGGCAGAACTTAGTGACGCAGTCAGTTGGCTGTTGGCATGCCTGTCGGTGGGACAACATGGTTGAACACGTACCAGCAGTGATAATTGTGAACTCCATCCAAGAACAAATGTTAAATAAAGACGTGCATCGGACACATATAGTTTAATTTTGTGATAGAAATATGTGTTGTTACTCCAGGCATATGTTTAGTGTAATGGGACTCATGGTGACAAAGCTGATGTGAATTTTTAATATTAAAGAGCTTTGTCACGGAAACGTTAAATAAGTTTTATTAGTGAACCTGGGTGTGTGTGTATGTGAGAACAACGTGAATGGTAAATCACGTGAGTGTGAGCTTCCAGGTGTATGAGCAGCGCAATATTTTTATGCTCACATATTCCGAACTAGAAGAAAAGTTGCGCCGGAAAATTCGTTTGTTGTTACGCATGTATTCAGACATGGACACGGTATTGTTTCTGTTACAGCATGCTGTGGTTGGCTAACTGTGGCAAGCATAGCTCGAACGTCTGCGACGGTAAATATATAGTGATTTTTGCTAGGCAGTTTTTTTTTCGTGGTTTCCACAGCGCAGTCTTGTATTGTTTTCACATACCTGGAAGTTAATAGCTGAAATTGCAGTTTTTACTCTTCTTGCTATTAAATTTCCTCTTGTATGTTAACAGCAATACAGAAGTAGCAGAGTATGAATATATGTTATTATCATTTGGGTAATATTCATAAACCAGGACATTTCAATTAGCAGACTGGCTGCTTGAAATGTCACCTCTCAAGTTGAGGAATATCTTGCCACCGCAAGCTCGCTACGTCTGGGGCCCATCCATATCCCCACATGTCGGATATTTGGGAGTAAATAGTCGAAACATGAAGGCACTGAAATTTGGAATTGATAAAATGTTATCTCTTTGTATTTATGACATTCGTCAGCGTTGATTTCTTGAGTTAAGTTAACAAGTCACTAAAGTGACTGAAACAAGACTGAATGATTCGAGTTCGATCTCAAGCAGGGGAACTCCTCCCTTATATTCTTACATTCAAGAACTAGGGTACAGAATTCACCAAGCTTTATCCCAGTATTCCTATCTGGCATGAGCTACAACTGCCTCCCAGGTCATATGTTTCGCCACGGGACACTAGACCAATTGGCTTTCCATCCCTCTGCTCTATCACCATGGAGTTCTTCCTCCATGAACAGAAACACTTCCTCTTGTCGTTGCTAATAAACGCATTCATGGGTCATTCAGTAGTGTATTTTGTTGAGGTAATATGCTACAAAACAGAAGGTCGCGGGTTCGGTTCCCGGTGAGGTGATTGGATTATTCAATTGACCTAACCTTTCCAGCCGTCGTTGGGCTCTGGTGTCGACTCATCCTCTAACAGAAATGAGTACCAGGAATCTTGCTGCTGGGGGTAAAGGTCAGCCGGCGCGTATGGCTGACAACCTCACCGCCGTCTGTGACCCGATTGTCTAGATAATGTGGGAGCCTCGACGTCTCACAACCCTACGAACTTCCCGGCATGTTACGGGGAAAGCTTTATTTTTTATTTTATTGCTCTCTATTTATGCATACTGCCGTACTGTATTTGCATTTAACGCCTTACAAATAATTTAATTATGTCCTCCTTTATCATGTCGCACATTTTACACCCCGATAAGTATTTGAATTCGGCTGCCAACTACTCAATAATTTCACACCGAACTCGTTAGCATAGCGATAACGCTCGAGTGTCGTGTTCGGCAGGATTTCGTTTCGACTTTAAGCTGGGAGCTCGGCGATCCTGACTGACATTTTCCCAGAATTTCTCCAGGCAAAGGCCGGAACAATACTTCGAATAGGCCATGACCACTTCTTGACAAATCCTTTTCCAATTTACCATTTATCTCTCGTCCTACCATTCAACGTTGTTACTGACCGCTTCTCAAAATAAGCCACATGAAAATAATGCACTTCATCGACTCCTTTCTGCCATGTTTCGTATATATATAGGCCTGAATGTGCTCTACTTCGCAGCTCCTCAAGTACGAATTTACATGACTCATTCATGGTAAAAGAGAGATATCAGTGTAACAGGCCGTGGAGACCCATAGGGTTGTGAGACGTCGAGGCTCCCACATTTTCTAGATAGTCGGCACACAGATGGCGGTGAAGTTCATACAGCAAAATTTAAACACCATGGCGACGTCTTCCCATCACCGTTACCAAGTTCAGACCACTGAATTTAGCAACACAGCTTGATTCGCTGACTTACGAAAGGTCACAGCCTCTTATTGGATGATTGTCTGTGCAAGATTAACAAACAATTTGAAGCGTAGATCGCAGTTTGCATGCCTGTTGTGGATATTCACATTAATGGTGAGGTGAAAAACAGCTTTCCGGACACATATTCTCACTCCATAATCAGCTTTGTTGGTAGGAATGCCCATTGGCACAGAAGTCATGACATCGTCCCTTCCACACGGTCCTTATTGCGCTGGTACCGATCCTTGGTACGGAACTGTTCAGATTGTGACGTGCAACGAGATAATTGCGTCTTTCCCACTTTGGTGAGGAGTCTCTGAGAAGTAGAGAGGTGGAAATTCTGCTGCACGTACAGCGAAGGCAGGCCCACAGACAACTTTCATGACGATGGGAGATCAATCATCTTCAGCTACTCGCCTTAGCCCCTCCCTGGCCTGCTGCAATGTGGGTGTGACCGTGTTTGTCTCTGTTGATTTGATTACCCTGCCGTTTGTTGTGGCAGACCCTGCGTACGGTCCGGTATGTCCCCGCGGGCGTAATCGGTTTGGACGCAAGGCTTCGATCAGTGGGAACTTAACGAAACATTTCAACACTTCCTCTGTTGCCATTCTGCATCTACATGGCATCTACAGTACATTTTAGTACTAATGAAAGAGTAGGTGGGGCAAGCGGTAGCGTAGTTGGTTGAGGAGGCACTATGTTACAAGCTGGAAGATGGCGTCTTCCATTCCCGATGGGGTCATTGGATTTTTCAATTGACGTAATCTTTCCAGCCTCACTATGACCATGGGGTCGACTTAGCCTCTAACAGAAGTACGTACGAGGAATCTTCCTGGGGGTTAAGGGCGGCCGTCGCGTAAGACTGACAACCTAACCCCCATCTGTGAGTCGATTGTCTAGAAATTGTGGAAGCCTCGACGTCTCACGAACCTACGGGTCTCCAGGGTCTGTTACAGGGATAGCTTTACTTTTTATAATAAAACAATAAATAATACGATTTATGAACTATTCCAAAATTGAAGAAACAAATGCATATGAATATTATATATGCTTAGGCGTGGAGGCGGCACTGCTTGCCCTTTCTCGGCAATTGTGGGCGATGGCCGCTCCTAGATCAGAGGGACCTCAGGAGTTGGTTACACTTTAACCCTATGTGACCAAAACCGCTGCTAGCTGTAACACCCGTTAAAGCAGACCAGGCTCCTTAAGCTTCTAATCATGTGACTGTTGTAATTGTATCTGTTGCTGATTTGTTGTTGTGGTTGTAGGTGTTTCTGTATGATGTTGATTGTTCTGTAGGCTATTCTGTTGTCAAAGTCTCCGAATATTTTGGCAATTTGTTGTGTTTCGTCCCCAAAGAATGTAAATGTAATCCGCTTATTTAATTGATAGTGTTTTCTTTGGTGTGATCTTGGTTCGTCACAAAGTTGTTTTCCTTATTTTTCCCATTTATTTATTTGACATTGCCGTATACAAACTAAAATGCATTCACTGTCCCCTACAGTACATAGGTCAGAGAGGGCGATCGCTCCAACTAAGATACAAAGAACATATACTGGTATGTGCAATAAAATATAACTAAGACACATCCACTTACGTACAACAAACACTAAACACGGGAAATACTACGGAAGTAGCATCTCAAGTAGTAGCTGAATGTCTTGCTTCTCCATTTTTTTTTTTGTCAATTCAATACTTCTTTCTAAATCAAGGCGTGTTTAAGCTCGTAAACCACTTCTGACACCAATGTAGCGTGTTTTGTGTGTCACGCTACAAATAAGTTCACGCCGTTGTTTGGTATAGCGAATTTATTCTATTCGCTCGTTTACACACAGTTTACAGTCATCACAACTTGCAGTGTTACAATCACTGCTCACAATATCTCGGCGAGACACTGGACGCTCTTCTCTGGCGGATTCCGAGACTGACTCTACTCCGAAGGCTTGGTAACGACTGGCTTCTAAGATGGCTATTCCAAGACTGGCTCCTTAGACGGCTCGACGAAGACTGGCTGTTTCTCGCTGAAGCTGGGCTATTTATAACCTCGCCGCTACTAGGCAAATGGACCCTCTGTTATAACCATGGAGACTCCTGTTAGAACTACAATGGAGCAATTGTTGTCTCCTCTGTAACGGTCTATTCTAGCGTTTCCATAGCAGTGACTCTTCTGGATTGCAAACACGTTACAATACAGAACACAATGGAAATAATAGAAATAATCCAAAGAGGCAGATATATGAACAGTCTCGGAAAAATTCCATATTTAATGCGCTCACCAACAAAGTAAACAAAGGAACAAAGTATTGTTTGATCTCCAAAGTCCTATATTCGACGCCATATACAATCACTGTACAAAATATTAGCACACATAATCCACAAAACGCCAGAAGAACTTACACATCACAGCATAAAATACACGCAGGCAAAACACCAATAGCACCAATCCCTCACAGCCACTCTAACAAAAAACACACTCTCCAAATAAGGTAACAAAACACTCAGAAACATTAAAAATTACAATATGCAACCTACTATACTCCTACTTTTTTTCCTTGGCACTACAGCCCCAGTGGGCCTAGGCCTACCTCCATGAACTCCGTTTCACTTCGGTTCTTCTAGATCTTACACATTCGGTAGGACTCCTTGAGTGAGTGATCAGCTCGTCGCAAGACCTCTACCTGTAGACAAACACAGAAAAACGCACACAAACATCCATGTCGTGAGTGGGATTCGAACCCACGATCTCGGCTTCCGAGCGAGCGAAGACAGTGCATGCCTTAGACCGCTCGGCTACCGTGACCGGCTACTATACTCCTCTATGCTAACAAAAATTTATATTCCACATCAGGCCACTGGAAGAAAAATATATGAAAACAACACACCACATAACCGTAGGCCAACATACAACAACAACATCAACATGAGGTAAGGAACCCCGACATATACATTTACCCAAACATACAAACTTATAGCACACACACTAATAACACATTCACATTTAAAACTGCAGGAAGTGTCTCACGCTAAACGAGAGCGCGCGTTCGCGAACATCTCCTAAACGTCTGACAACACAAAGCAAAATTACACAACATAAAACAGAGGGGGAAATACATGCATATGTATTTATATACCTTATATATATAACTCAACTTTAATTGCAATTATAATATTTCAACATTTAAAAATTTTAGTTTCAATATTTAAAATCTGTAAGGTTGCGGGTTCGATTCTTAGACGAAGTATTGGAAGTATAGAAATGGAGATACGGGCGGATTGGTTTGCTAACGTAGGACGCGGCGAGCTTGTATGGAGCCGTGTTTTGGGTGCATACGGACCCCAGAGCCTGTGGGCGGAAATGAAATTGAACCACTGATAAGGGGTTCTGTTTCCTTTTCAAATTGAAAGAGATTTATGGGAAATGTTGGTATGATAGGACCGATTCCTTGTTTTCTGATGTTAGGTACACGATCAGGTTTATTGTCGCCCTTGTCCGTAGGGGCACGAATTAATGTTTCTTGGGTTCCCCCGAAGTGGGATCAGGCTGGGGTAGCTTGTCTCTCTTCTTGCATTACGTTGCCATACCTTTATGACGTAATGCATGGCGAAACTTCTCTAAAAACCAGCGCTTCTAAAGATCACATTTGTGTGACAAGGACTGGGTTTTAGGCCAGTTCAGTGTAATGCAGCCTCCTATTCAGAGGCCACACTTATTGGCAACCAGTGACCATGCCTGGTCTTTACCAAACCCCCTCCAAAGAGACCATATCACAGCTAGAATTCCCGACGGCGACCTCTAGGTTCACCAGTGCCGTGAAGAACAATGCAGAGTAAATACATGCGACACCCTTCTCCAGCACACCCAGTGGATTACCGCTCTTATCCGTGCCTGTCTTTGTATGTACCCTTTTAATTTTTCAAACTTGACTGATGTTACTTGTTGCATCTGATATTAATGTAAAACTGTATCCCTATAACAGGCTGTGGAGGCACAGTTTTGTGAGACGTCGAGGATCCCACATTTTTTAGACAATCGGCTCACAGATGGCAATCAGGTTGTCAACCTTA